TTAAATGTTGAGGTTAAACTTACATTTAAACACATTTTTCTAGGGCTTGAATATTTTTAAGTGCTTAAACACTGGTGAAAAAGGATTTTTAGAATGATTCTTAGAATGGCCTCATAACTATTTAGTTTTGCTTTTTGATTTAAAACCCCCAAATTAACAGTCTCTTAAAACTAGAATAAAGATGTATACCCATAACAAGTTAGTGTTAATTACACTTACAAAATACAGCAGTTCAGTCTTCTGATAAATCATTTCTATGACCAAAATCTAACATATTACATGCTAACCAATTTCCAGGGTAAACTCTTCTGTTTGCCGCTTTGTTTTCTGCCTCCATGCCTATTTTGCTATGCAAAAGCTTTATGTCAATTTACTTTTTGAGCCGTTTAAGACCAAACCAAATTATTCCTTCAGCACATTTTAAACAATCCCTTAAAGACCTCTTTTTCTTGGCTATGTTTCCAATCTTGGCTTATCACTATAATATTTCATGCTCCATGCTTCTGAAAAAATTCAATATTCAAGAACAAAGTAATCCAGAGCTTTACTTCATTTCAGTCTTTTTATGTCCTAGGGCTGTCCCAACTCAATGACCCAGTTTTTATTGTGTCACATCTCACTGTCTGTTGCTGACTGCGACCAGCTTGCCTAATCCTTTTCCCGTCCCTTATCAGTTTTCCCTTAATTCAAAAATCTTTTTTTTTTTTTTTATTCTTTCCAGTTCTCCTTTCACAGCTTTTAGATTTTTTTTTTCTTTCTCTTGAGACTCAGTGTTCCTGTGGTAACTACTCAGAAATACAAAGACAAATGGGTAACTAAAGTCCACAAATCTGTCCTTGTCAAAATTTTCATTGTACTATTTTTAGAATTGCATGTGGTGAATAGTAGAAAGTGGATGTTATAATTTGGCAATATGCCCTTAAAAATGTCCATACTCTAGGACCCAGCAATTTCACTTCCAGGAATCTGGCTTATTAATTAAAAAGAATCATCTAAGAGATGGAAAAAGCTATATGCATGAGCTGTTCATTACAATGTTATGTATAAAAGAAAAAGGAAATAACACAAATATCTAATGATAGAAGTTAAATAAATTATGGCCCATCTACTTGATGAAATAACACACAATCATTTAAGATGATGATTGTGTCACTATGTAGAAACATGGGTAAATACTTTCAGTGTTTTCAGAAAAGCAGGGTGCACAACTGTAAGTGCTTATGATCACAATTGTGTTTTTAAAAAACTATTTGCAAAGTAAAAACATCAAAGAAACATGACATTTGTGAATAGTTGTTATTTTAAGGTGGTGGAATTATAGATGATTTTTCTTTACTCTCAAAATCTTGTGATCCTAGTCCTTTCGATCTTTTTTTTTTTTTTTTTTTTTTTTTGAGATGGAGTCTCACTCTGTCACCCAGGCTGGAGTACAGTGGCGGGATCTCAGCTCGCTGCAAGCTCCGCCTCCTGAGTTCAGGCCATTCTCCTGCCTCAGCCTCCGGAGCAGCTGGGACTACAGACACCTGCCACCATACCCGGCTAATTTTTTGTATTTTTAGTAGAGACGGGGTTTCACCGTGTTAGCCAGGATGGCCTCAATCTCCTGACCTTGTGATTTGCTCGCCTCGGCCTCCCAAAGTGCTGGGATTACAGGCATGAGCCACTGCGCCCGACCGAGTTTTTAAAAACTATAATCTTAATTCAAGTAAATGAATCATTAGGTAGGTTATGTCAAATAAAACTTAGATTAGATAGAGCTCTATTTAAGTCTAATAATAATCTAATGGCTGGGTGTGGTGGCTCACACCTGTAATCCCAGCACTTTGGGAGGCTGAGGTGGAATGATTGCTTGAGGCTAGCAGTTCACGACCAGCCTAGGCAACATAGGGAGACCCCAGCTCTACAATTTTTTTTTTTAATTAGCGGGGCATGGTGGCCTGTGCCTGTAGTCCTAGCTACTTGGATGGCTGAGGTGAGATCACTTGTGCCTAGGAGTTGGAGGCTGCAGTGAGCTATGATTGTGCCACTGCACTCCAGCCTGGGTGACAGAGCAAGACCCTGTCTCTAAAAGACAACAACAAAATAATAATCTCATAACTGTGGGTGTGGGGGAGATAAGAAAGGCAATATTTCATTTTGTTTACCCTTATAGGTCATCTCTGAAAAGACGAATTAGAAAAAAAACCCTCCTAATATCTGTTTTAAAATACAAAATTATCTTTAAAACACTACAGTAGGTTCTATTCAAGTTTATTTTATTGCCACTGACTTTATCCAGGCCAGCTTGTTCTCATCTAACTTACTTAATCACATTCCTCCTGGTATCTCTGCCTCTGGTCCAACCCTTTCAATCCATTTTTCACATTGTCTTCAAAGAGATCTTTCTGAAACCTAATTCTGTTTGTGATACTCCACTGTTTAAACCGTTCAGGGATTCAGAATAGAGTTCTGAAAAATTAAAGACAGAATATATTCAAAGCTTTACCCAGGCTTCCTAGCACCTTCCAAGCTTCTCTGCCTTATTCTGTACCATTTCTTCTCATGCACCCTTTCCACTAGCCTCAACAAACTAGTTGTAGCAGTTGAAACAGAACTCACAGTCACTATTTTTTGTTTCTTAACACTGAACTTAATATGCTCTCATTCTTTAAATCTCAAGTGTCACTTTCTTTGGGAAGCCTTTCCAGATTCGTCATTCATTTAGATGTCTCTTCTCTGTAATCCTATAGGGCCCCACCACCCTGTGCTATCACTGATTTGCTTATCTGCCTTTACTACCAGACAGTGGACTTCTTGTTTGCATAGACAAGTGGGATTGAGTGTGTATTCATTTAACCTGAATACCGCCTATCCCCCCTCAGACAATGTGGAGCATGGTGAATACTAAATGGTGTTGGTGTAGGGCTAATGTGCTAATCCTGGGATACTAAGTGCTAGGAACACAGAGGGAAGATGCACTGGAAGCCAAGGGCCTGTTACCGGTCGGGTACTTAGCAGGTAGAAACTCATTCAATGCATTTCCCTGATAAAGTTATGCTTTTTTTACTTTGTCTTAAGGTTGTACAAATGTTTTACCTCCCACATCATATCCCTGAGAACTAGGAGCTTGTCTTGTCTGTGAACCTTTGACTATTCCTTATATATACTAGTCATTCAAGTGTATGTTAAAGTAATACATTTTGATGTTTTAAAATAATTTTGATTTAGGTTAGGCTTGGTAGCTCACGCCTGTAATCCCAGCACTTTGGGAGGCCGAGGCAGATGGATCACTTGAGGTCAGGAATTCAAAACCAGCCTGACCAACATGGTAAAACCCTGTCTCTACTAAAAATACAAAAAAATTAGCCAGGCATGGTGGCAGGTGCCTGTAATCCCAGCTACTCAGGAGGCTGAGGCAGGAGGATCACTTGAACCCAGGAGGCAGAGGTTGCAGTGAGCCAAGATCGTGCCACTGCACTCCAGCCTGCATGACAGAGCAAAACTCCATCTCAAAAAAAAAAAAAAGAAGAAGAAATAAATAAAAATAAAATAATTTTGATTTATAGAAAAAATATGTAAAGGACAAAATATTTGTGAAGTTCAACATTTTAAACAAAAATTTTCAGAAGTGTTGTAAAGAGAGAAGGATAAAATATAAATTAAGGATGGGTAAACATATTCAGATAAAATTAAAGACTACCTAACCCCCAAATGTGCTGACATGTAAATATCTTCTCTACCTTGATTTTCACATACTTATATAGGGAACCAGGGATACTCCAATGGAAAATATTGGTTCAGCCTGACCCAAAAAGTCATGGTTTTACTGTTCAGATGGAAAACAAACAAATGACTTGGTCATGGTTTCAATTTACTATCTTTTTTTCCCCCACTGTTACTATATCTGCATTTTAAACAATATGTTTATTACAGCAAAATTACTTGGAAATTTTGATAAATCAATTTTCTCAAATTTTTTACAGTTAAAAAATTTTTTTATGATTATGACTGACATTTTGTTATTAATCTCCTAAAGTTTAAATGTACCAGAAGTTCTGCTATTTAAAATAAAACTCTGGAAACAATCTTGAAACAGAAATGTCTCCATCATCCCCTAATTTATCTGCTTTGTAGATTTAATTTTATTTTATATTTTCTTATAGAATCACCTACCTATACCTACCCAGATACCTACCTAGTCCTATCTGGGAAACAAATGCAAATGAATATGTTTTAGAAAACTATTCAAACAGAATTCTATTTTAAATTCCAAATTATTAAGAGTATAACTAGTGACTACTTTGGCATGAGAAAGATTAACTAGCCACTGCATGGAGGGAGAAATATTTGGCTGAACTTTATATATAATCATAAAGAGCAGAAATAATAAAATTAGCATAGTTTGGTCAGGAAGAATCAAGAATGAGTGGGAACTAAAGACATTTTTGAAGTTCAGCAAAACAAGAATGAATAAGGCAAAACCTGGGAATCCAAAGTATGAATTGTAGAAAAAGAAACTTGAAAAGAGCAATGTTTAATGCAGCTACAACTGTCTCTCAGTGAAATACATTATGAAGGCCCATTTCGCTATAGAAAAAAAGAAAACCTGTAATGAACGTATCATATCCTTTAAGATAGTCCAACAGTCACTTAAATATAATGTTCGGATAATCCAAGCAACTTTGTTCTTAACCAAATCTCCTAAAATAGATTTCTCCTATTAGCAAGGGAGCATGCTCATTCAGGATCATGAGTATAGTCCCTTTGGCCATCTTAGCTCTCATATGTATTAAGAGGCGCTCTGGTTTCCAAATCAAGCCTCATGTGAATTTAATGGGTATGAAGCAGTTCTTTGGTGACCGATAACCTAGTAGATGAGATCACAAGTGCTAATTTAAAATGCCTACTACAGTGCCCACTACATAGAAAGCTCTCTAGGATTTGTTTTCCTTCCTTCCCTTGCAACTCTGTAATAAAAACCACAAATCTATAGCCCAAAAGAATTGCACAAGACAAGGATGATCTGTTGTTGATACCTTAAATATTTAATAATTTATTGTAAAAGCATTTTATATACCACCATTACAAATACTGAATATGGTTTTATGAAAGTTATAATTTTATAACAAAAATATTTCCTAAATACCAAGGCAATCCACCTGTTTTCTTCTTAATCTCAGTATAACAGCTAATATTAGGGTTAGAATTTAACCCTAGCAGACATGAAAATTTGGTCTCTTGGTTTATTTTTTATTTATTTATTTTTTTGAGACAGAGTCTCGCTCTGCTGCCCAGGCTAGAGTGCAGTGGCTTGATCTTGGCTCACTGCAAGCTCCGCCTCCCGGGTTCACGCCATTCTCCTGCCTTAGCCTCCCAAGTAGCTGGGACTACAGGTGCCCGCCACCACACCTGGCTAATTTTTTTTTTTGTATTTTTAGTAGAGATGGGGTTTCACCGTGTTAGCCAGGATGGTCTCGATCTCCTGACCTCGTGATCCACCCCCCTTTGGCTTCCCAAGTTGTTGGATTACAGGTGTGAGTCACCGCGCCTGGCGGGTCTCTTGGTTTATAAATATAGTCAGATGCATAGGAACATTGACTGGCATTTCCATGTCAAGAAACATGGTCATATGTACAGCCAAGACACGGACAACCAACAAGTTTTAAAGAAATGGACACATCTCTAGTTACAGATTCTAACCAGAATTACTACAGGAGAGCTGGCAAATGACAACCACCAATACATACATTTCTACACTCCTGAAAAAGACAACATCAAAAAACATTAAGAAATTTGGCATCAGGTGGACAACATCTAGGTTTTGGGGCTAATATACTGATTCATACATTGTACAAAGTTTCATCATTGCCCCCAACCTTGGAATTTCAGAGTGAGAGTGTATACAAAACAATTGCTTTGTCCCTTTTCTCATATTAGAGCTCTGATACTTTCCTAACTCTTACAGTCTTCTAGAATGATCTGCCAGATTTTCACTCAACACTGGGTCAGATCTCTTCTATACATGACCTCATCCTTCTCATGTCTCCTCTGTTTGCAGAGAGCCGGTCAAAGTCTTGGAGGTGGAAACGAACTGCCAACTGATTAACCATTTTCCTTAAGGTAAGAAATGCTGCAACAACTTGGAAAGCAAGGAAGAGAGTGAAGATGATATGTATCGCTTTTTCCAAGGGCAGATTTGTTAGGCCTTCATTAAAGAGCAAGAAAAGAATTAAAGGTAACTGCAATAGAAGGCTCAAAAGCCAAAAGCCAGCCAACTCAGGAACCTGCAATGACACATATAAAGAGTAATAAAAATCAGTAAAATATAGTTTTTGTTTATACAGATAAGTACTTATCACTACTGTGAACCTACATTATGGGCTCTGTGAGTGATTCTGAAGGAGGATGACATGGTCCTTGTCCTCAGAGAACTTACAGTCTAGATGAGAAAACTAATTTATGTAAAACAATCCTAGAATACTACACTTTAGTGAACAATTAAGGGCAATATTTAGAAGTACAGACTAAATGCTACAAGAAATAAGAGAGTGATTAGGGTAGGTGAAAGAAAGACCTCAGGGATGTAGGCTTTTAAAGTTGTGGAGGAGGAAGAGGCAAAAAGGTAAGTAAGCAAACACGTGAAACTAGCATGATTGGGAATCAGCACATCAGCCTGGAATGAATGGCTGAGTGAGAAAACAGCAAAACCTACAGTAAGACAGGCTGGGTGGGGCCTTATTATGAAGGGCCTAGAAAACCACAGGAATCTTTAGGCATTATCCCTACACTCTGGTAACCATAAATGCTTAGGTAGCATGATGATGCAGAAAACATGGGCCTGGCGTAGGAAACGAATTTATAATTTTCCCCCATTTTCTTATTCAGGATCCAAATACACATGTTTAAGTAACCATGTATTTTCAAGACTGATGAGAAGAGGGAAAATATCAATTTTAAGTGTTTACCACATTCATATGCTTTACATAAATCATTTCACTTAATCACAACAAACCTGTGAAGTAAATATTATTTTCCTCATTTTATATATGAGGAAACCAGGGCTCAAGAGATTAAGCAAACAGACCACAGTGACAGAAGTGGTAAAGCTGGAGTCAGGCTTTAAACTCAGGCCTGTGCTCTTTCTGCCACACCTCACTGCCTTTTACTTGTTATGAAAACTGATTTCATTTATATCTATCACTGAGAGAAAGGAAAAAAGAGCTTACCTTTTCCTGTAGGTTACCCATGTAGCCCAGATACAACCGGATGGCTTCAATTAAGGTTATTAGGATGATAACAGTGATCACAATGAATTTGTAGTAATCAGGCAAGATTGAATACTAAAAGAAAGGCCAAAACATGTTTGTAAAATTGCACGTATAGTAACACTGATTTGAGATAGAAAAAAATTATTAAGAACTTTAATTTTATTGACACTCTAACAACGTCAGGGCAGCAAAAGTATTAAAGCTTAGATTTACCTTCATGTGAAGCATCATAATGCTGCTCACCCACCACAGTGGGAAATAGTAGGTATTAAAATAAAGTGACATCTGCAATGCCAAACTGGAGACCATTTCATTTTCTACAGAAGGAATAGAAAAGGAATAAATTATGAAACTTGGTCTATGCCCTATATATATATATATATCCTATCCCCTAGAATTAATAACTATAATATTGGCTCAGTAAAATACCAAATTTTAAACCTATTTATAATCATTGACAGTAAAAGGAATATTCATCCTAATACCAGTTAGGTCAAATATTGGCTATTTGGGGGTATGTTTCATATTTTTCAATTATTTTACCATTTTGCCATTACAGTCTTCTGACTTTTTTGCATATACTACTGGTACAGATTTAATGTAGAATATCAATATAAATCCTATTCAACAGATAATTATCATTGCCTCCTTTGTAGAATTCTATGTAAATAGCATATAAAATTAATACATAAAATAAATAAAAATGAATCTCTCACATATAAACTAATCTCATACAAAAACGGATTACCAAGATTATATAATTAGACACATCTTTCTTTTCAGCATACCCTAATCTTAGCCATTCTTTAAAGTCCAATTCAGCGTCGTCTTTTCCATCAATACTTCCTTCATCAGTTCCCCCATCCCAGCAGAAATACCTTTCCCTTCAGGTACTTATCACTCTAAACTGTCAATAAGAAGTGCTAGCAAAGAACCACATTCCCCTCCCCGAAAAACAGTCTGGTGTACTGAACAGATCACGGGCTTCAGAGTTCAAGCAAACCCGAGCTCCCCAAACCTCTGTGACCCTGGATGTCAGACTTGATATAAATTATTTAAGTTCTTTGAGCTTCTATTTCTTCATCTGTAAAACAGTGAAATTAAAACTTCCTTACAGGCTGCTTGTGAGAATTAGAGCCAATATGAATTATTTCTTCCTAGCACTGTGCTGGGCACACTTAGTAGGCACTCAACAACTTCTTCTCTTCTATTTATCTACTTATCTGCAAGCACACACCATGTCCCACCCTAATTTGAGACCCTCATAGAATCTAGCATCTTGCTTTATATGCAGTGAATATCAAATATACATAAGAATGAATTAATGTAAGCATACTGTCATAAGGACATTACTAGTATAGCCATTTGTGATACATGAGTTCCATTTACCTAAGGTTGATTCCATAACACTTTTTGCTTTTATGTGAGACAGAAGGGTCCTAAATTAAGAATTTGATTTTTAAAATTGAACCCTACAAAATACATCCTAAATTTGACTAAATTCTTAAGAGCGGACACATATATTGAAATCAGTTGTTCTACACGTAAGATTTTAAAGGTCCTAAAATAAATGTCTTAAGAACATTATTTTCTCCTTTTCTCCATAGTTGAGTGTTTTTATCTGTCATTTAATAATTTTAAAATATAAGAAACAGTCATGGTCTCTCACAGCAAAATAGTTTCTTTTAGCTCCAAAAATATGCCTGATTATTATGATCTACTTTTGCTTGCAACTGTTTATTAAATTACCACTGATAAATGAATGAATTCTTAAAATCTGTGAAATCTGAAGACAACTCACCAGCCTAGGATCTTTCTGATAGCAACAGCACAATGCTGTGGACATGGTAATTACATAAATTTGTTATTACAGTACAAATAATCAAACCTACTTCTGATCCACAAAGAACAAAATACGGGAAAGAATAATAAATTGGGCAAGCAGAACATTTCAGTACCTTTGAGAAGAAACTGTAGTCAAATTTTGCAAAGAACGGTTTTTATGTTAGAAGTATTGTGTGTTAACATCTTAAAGGTTATGCTATGTCCATATTTCAGCAGATCAAACTTATAATCATGGAAATGAAAATCAAATTAATATGTAAATGAACCTTAAAAGCATAAGATATACATTTACTGAATTTTGCAAAAGTTCAAGTTGAGTTCTATAAATGGAATTTAAATTAAAACATACAATATAAATCAGGGATAGGTAAACAACTGGTCAGCTGCCTAAACGTTTTTGTACAGTCAATGAGCTAAAAATGTTTTTTCACCTTTAAATGGTTAAAAAAGTAGTATTTTTTTCATACGTGAAATCCATATGAAATACAAATTTCAATATCCTTAAAGTTTTATTGGAACACAGCCATGCCTATTCAATAACTATTGTCAGTGGCTGCCGTGGAGACCATATGGCCTACAAAGCCTAAAGTACTTACTATCTGGCCCTTTTCAGAAAACGTCTTTTTACCTTGTATTATCAGACGTTAGTGCTCATTAAGCCTCATCCTTGGAACCAGAAACGTGAAACCTAATTTTTTCACATTTTTCTCTGTACATCCTAAATCATAAAGGCCTACATTTGGGGAATAGGCAAGTGATCAAGACGACAAAATGCAGCTTTGGGGACTGCCTTTACTTTTCTCTGTCCCTTTTAAAAATTCTGTAAAACCAAGCAGTGGAAAAGATTTATATTTCCCAGCAGACTTGAATGATGGAAACCACACGGGTTTGGTTGACAGTGTGTTGTCTACCACCATGATGTAGGAGGAGGAACCTGTTCTGGAGGAAACTGCGTTATCACTTGTCATCAAGTTGAAGGATGCAGAGGCATCATGGTATTTTCTTACCTTATGGTAAGAGTTACATATAGGGGAGGAGGAGGAGAAGGCAGGGAAGGGGTGAGTTTTGTTGAACGTCCGGCTAGTATGGCACATGCCAGTTGGGAGTGGATGGTGGTTTGAAAGGACTCTTTAAAAAAAATTTTTTTTCCCCCTCATCTTTTCTGCCAGAAAATGGCCTTGCTTAGGAACATACTTGTTCTGCTAGGAAAAGGGAAAAGGCAAATTTGCTCCCTGGGCGGCGGGTGGGATTGCTTGGGCTGTTCCTCGCCATCCTGGACAGAAAAGCCGGGGCGGGCGCCGCAGAGGAAAAGCAAGTTGGGCCTTCGCTCTCGCCGTGCGCGGGGGACTAGCCTGTGCAGCAAGGGCGGCTTTTATCTTTTTATTTTTGGGGTTCCCCAGGAGCAATGATGGGCCTTGCGTGGCACAGAGGTCGGCCCCACCTCAGCTGCCGGGCTTGCACGGAGCAGGCCAGGCGCTAGCGCGCGCAGACCAGGCCCAGCCCGCGGCCGGAGGCCGCCAGCGCCTCAGCTCCCCGCCCCGGCCGGCCCCTCCTCCAAGGCTCTGGCCCGCACTGCGGGGAACTGACTGAAGGCGACATCGCCATTTTAGGTACGGGCAAATTCTGGACGCTCCAAAACCCACGCCAAGCCCTCAGCAGGCCACACCCCCTGCGCCGGCCTCGGTCACTCACCGGGACCCTCACTGTACTCCGGACCGGTCCGATTGGAATCAGTGAACACAGCCCGGCTGAAGTTTCCCAGCCGCTGGCGCACCGGATCCGGCAGCTCCATGCCTGGGCCTCGGTATCCCTCGCCCCCTCAGATACAGGCTAGTCTGCGGGCGTTCCGAGGCTCCGTGGTTCTCATGGCAACCGGCCGGCGAGATCCGGGAGCGCGCGGGGGTGCCCGGCTGGGCCGGGTCTCGTCGGGAGCCCGCGCAACCTTGAAGGGACCGGCGTACTCAGAGCGCGTTCCAGGCCCCGGGAGCCGCGCGCCTCGGCCGTGTCCAAAACGGCAGATCTCTTAGTTCTGCTTTGAGCCCGACCATCCTAAAAACAAACCTATACTAATAAATGAGCTGGGGTTGGACTGCGATACAAGGAGCCCTCATATCTTGCCAGTGAAACTGTAAATCGGTACAACCTTTCTGGAGGGAAATAGAGAATGAATGCAGAGCTTAAAGAATGTCTAGAGGTGTAGGGGTATGTGTGAGAGAGAGATACTATGACTGATTATTTTTTAATAAGAAAATAGAGCAATGGGCAACTGATTAAATGTACTGGAGCATATGCATTCAATGGAGTATGTTTCAGCTGCTTATAAAATGCTTGCAAAGAATATTGAATGATATAGTTTATGTAAAAATAAAGCAGAAATAAAACTAAATGAGAATAAACCTAATTTAGCAAAATTTATGTGTATGAGTGGAGGGGAGGAGAGAGCATGTGCACACTGACTTCAAAAAAAAAAAAACTGGAAAAAAATATTAACAGTAGTTATCACTGGATAGTGGGATTGTAGGTGATTCAAAAATTTTTAAACACTTCTGTATTTTCTAGCTTTCTCTCTAAGATATATTACTTAAATAAAACTAAGTAATATACATACAGAAAAATTGTATACCATTTGTAAGTAATAAACATATAAAGATATATTACTTAAAAAAACTAAGTGTAATATACATACATAGACAAACTGAAATCTGCATGTCTAGTCAGCACCCTGTTCAAGAAACGTTACAATATTCCCAGAAACTCCCCCTTCCTATTTCCTTTCAGTCACTAAACTCCCTCCTCACTCATAACTGACCTTTCCTGAATTCTAACAGCAAAGGAGAGTTTTGCCTTTTTTTTTTTTAAATCGGAACATTTATTGTGTGACTAATCCAAATATATATATATTTTTTATTCGAGACAGAGTCTTGCTCTATCGCCTAGGCTGGAGTGCAATGGCACAATCTCGGCTCACTGCAACCTCCGCCTCCCGGGTTCAAGCGATTCTTCTGCCTCAGCCTACCGAGTAGCTGGGATTACAGGCGCCCGCCACCACACTCGGTTAATTATTGTGTTTTTAGTAGAGACAGGGTTTCGCCACGTTTGCCAGGCTGGTCTTGAACTCCTGCTGCAACAGCTGTCCTCTTGGGTTTAGGTGGCGTTCCTTCAGAAAAGCCATGCCTTAACCTGCTGTACACAATTTTTAGGTGCCTCATTCGACCAGTCTCGTTGGTATTTTGTTTTTTAGCCTCGGCACTCCAATTATACTTTGTCTTGGCTTGGGAGCCGAGCCGCATTTGCCACAGGCAAACTTTTGAAGGAGGTAGATCTTAGAGTCACAAGGCAGCACTAGCTGTGCATCTTATTGCACCACTTTCTAGATGTGACACTCCCTTTGTCATCTTGCTTCTCAGTTTTGCATATTTAGATAAAAGCCATGGTACTGTAAATACTTTTTAAAAATAAAAAACTGGCTTTGTCTTCAACATTACTTTCATGAAATTCCTTCATATCATTGAGTGTAGATTCTTTTGCCTTGCTCTGTGTGATCATACCACAATAAGCTTACTCATTCTACTGTTGATGAGTGTCTGTATTTTCTAGTTTGCAGCTGTTATGAATAGTGCTGCTTTGGTGAAAAGATGCCTGTTGGTGAACATATGCATGCATTTTTGTTGAGTGTGTATCGAGAGTGGAATTGCCATGTCATAGGATACGAAAGACCCAGCTTTAGTAGAGGCTGCCAACAGTTCTCGAAAGTGATCGAACCAATTCCTGCTGCCTCCAGCAATGTATGAATATTTCCATTACTCCATATACTTCACCAACACTTGTTATTTGTTATCCTTTCCTTTTAGCCCTTCTGATGGGTGTGTGGTAAAAGTATTATTTTTACAATCAAAAGGAAAATCACACATTTTTATAAATGCAAGAAGAAGATATGGGTGGAAATAAATTCATGACTAGAATTTTAAAATAATTACACAAACGTTTATTGCATTCCTACTGTGTTTTTGGGTATTGTGCTAGGCTAATTAGGGATATGGTCCCTCTTCATCGAGAAGCACAGCTCAGTGAAAGAGTGAGAGATATGGAAAGAAGTAAGTGCAAACACTGTTATTATGAGTGCTCTATTAAAGGACCACTGATGAAGAACCAATTAATTCGGGTTGAAGATGTCAGGGAAAAGCTGGTTAACTTCTGCTTCATTTCAAGATGGAGCTCAGACCTGAGAATCTCCAAAAAGGCTTCTAGGACCTTCCTGAAGTAGCTTAGGTGCTCTCTTCCGTGTTTCCCAAAGTATCTTCCTGTTGTTTCTTTGGTCACAGTGCTGGTCACTCTATACTAAAATTGTCTGTTTATGTGTCTGTGTCTCTTGCTAGTCCTTAAGCGCTTAGAGGTCAAGAATGGACTTTCATCTTTATATCCCCAACACTAGCGCAGTGTGGTACCTGGCCAAGAGTAGGAGCTGGATGACCGTTGAGTGAGTAAAACGAAGAAAAAGCCTAATAACCACTCTCTTGTCTTCCCTTTCTAGTTCAAGGACTTAGCCAGCCCTGTATAAGGTTCACTTTGTAGAATGGTGAATTGGTGTATTAAAACATAGTGAATTTATAACAATTTAAAAAACCTTAGCAACAGAGAATCACTTCTCATCTATTAAATGAACCGAGGTTTTTTTAATAAAGGGAACAGTGAAGCAGGAGGCCTCAGGCTCAGCTGATTGAATTATAATTTGGCCAACTGCATTGAGATAAGCAATTGGCAATATATAGAAACAGCCTTTAGACTGGGCGTGATGGCTCACGCCTGTAATCCCAGCACTTTGGGAGGCTGAGGCGGGCAGATCACCAGGTCAGGAGATCGAGACCATCCTGGCTAACATGGTGAAACCCCGTCTCTACTAAAAATACAAAAAACTAGCCGGGCGAGGTGGCGGGCGCCCGTAGTCCCAGCTACTTGGGAGGCTGAGGCAGGAGAATGGCGTAAACCCGGGAGGCGGAGCTTGCCGTGAGCTGAGATCCGGCCTCTGCACTCCAGCCCGGGCGACAGAGCGAGACTCTCTCTCAAAAAAACAAAAACAAAAACAAAAACAAAAAATTAGCTGGGTGTGGTGGTGGGCGCCTGTAGTCCCAGCTACTTGGGAGGCTGAGGCAGGAGAATGGCAGGAGGAGGAGCTTGCAGTGAGCCGAGATCGTACCACTGCACTCCAGCCTGGGCCACAGAGTGAGAATCAGTCTCAAAAAAAAAAAAAAAAAAAAGAGCCTTTAAAACATTCCTGCCTCCTTTAATACAATAATTTAAATCTTAAGACTCTGGGGAAAATAATCATAGAAACAAAGTTTTATACACCAAATGCTTCTCCAACATTATTGATAATTGTTTAGAAAAGAGAGAGGTGAGTGGGCATTTGAAGTGCCCAACCACAGGGCCTGGTTAAGCAGATTATGATATTTATGGCGAGGTGTTGGGCTGCAGTAGAGAGAATGTCCTTGGAAGCTGAGAGGACAGGGTTCAAATACCCTAAAATTCCCAATGTACCATTTAAGAGCTATGTGACTGATTTCAGATACTTGTTTTGTAAGTAAGAATAATAGTATCTTACTGTTGTGGTTGATGTGAATATTATATCATTAAGGCTCTCTATACATGATAGTTACCATTTACACATCAATTAAAGTGAAGTTTATGAAGAAGCAACACCTAGAGTGGAGTCAAATAATGCTGGTATTTAATTTTGTGAATTCTACTGGACCTGTTAGGTAATACCTCTATTGCTTTCCTAATAAAGACAGTAGAGGCAATTAAGCATTAAAGCAGTCCATTATGTTAACCAAAAACCTATGTGAATTCTTATCAAAACCCTAAGTGAATTATTTTAAATATATTTTCCCCCAGCATTGAGAAAAGATGTAAGATACCTTCTTCAGATTGTAATTATTTTATCAAAATCCTGGAGGAAAAAAAAATTGATAGGATTATGGGTATTTTTCCTTCTAATTTTATTATTCAAATTTCCTATATGAGCATACATTTTCTAGTTTGAAAAAAATCTTGTTAAAAATAAATTGAGAGGAAGAGGCAATGATGATGCAAAAACATTAGAGAAGATAATTTGAGAGAAAAAAATGTGGTTTGGAATGAGTCCTACCATTATTGATGTATCATAAATGGTCCAAGGGGCTCAAAAAAACTTTCCAAATGTTACCTTTATTAGTTGATGCTCCCAATATTTATAGGCAATTACATTAGAAATACTAAGGGAGATCCTTCAGTGTTTCACTAATGTGATTGGCTATACAGGAAGGGATCGACATTCATGAACAATGAAGACTAGTATGATTCGGGTTTCCCATCTTCTAGATGTACTACTTATTAGGATCTAAAGAAAGAAGTATGGGCTGGGCACAGTGGCTCACACCTGCAATCCCAACACTTTGGGAGGCCAAGGTGGGCTGATCACAAGGTCAGGAGTTCAAGACCAACCTGGCCAATATGGTGAAACCCCGTGTATACTAAAAATACAAAAATTAGCCGGGTGTGGTGATGGGCCCCTGTAGTCCCAGCTACTCGAGAGGCTGAGGCAGGAGAATCGCTTGAACCCGGGAGGCAGAGGTTGCAGTGAGCTGAGATTGTGCCACTGTACTTCAGCCTGGGCGACAGAGTGAGGCTCCATCTCAAGAAAAAAAAAAAAAAAAAAGTATGGAATCTCTGTACTTAAAGTCACAGGAATCATTTTAGGTTAATGCATAGTCCCATAAAGTTTAAACTGCTTAGTTCTTATACCAGTGTTGATGTTCAGAGTAATAGCTGTTTCTACAATAGTTGTTTAATGTATTTCTTGGGGTTTAATTACATTTATCATTTGCTTATTTGTTTTCACAAACATTTTGAGACTGATGCAATGATTAGCTTCCCTTTGATAAGGGACCATGTTGTCTGGTAATAATGTATTATCTTACATGACAAGAAACTGATTTGGGGGAGTTATTTATTTATTTATTGAGGTAGGGTCTCACTCTGTTACCCAGGCTGGAGTGCAGTGGTGCAAGTATAGCTCGCTGTAGCCTCAAACTCCTGAGCTCAAGTGATCCACCCACTTCAGTCTCTCTAATAGCTGGGACTACCGGAGTATGCCACCACGTCCAGCTAATTTTTTTGTTTTAATTTTGTAGTGACAAGGTCTCCCTATGTTGCCTAGGCTGATCCTCCCACCTCAGCCACTCAAAGTGCCAGGATTATAGGCATGAGCCACCACACCTGACCTGACTTATTTAAATTTCTCCTAGGCATAACAAAAATTCTTTCCACTTGATACTAATAAAGAGTTTAGAAATATTTTTAAGTAAATATGTCATTCAGTTTATTGCTTTAAAATGAACTGAGAGACATTTCTCAGAATCTAGATAAATTTAAAAGATAAATTATATATTTGGGTATGATATGTAATTATGATTATGATATGATTCCACATTGGCATCCACATTAAAAAAATCTTACTCTAAATTACCTGAAATGGAATCTTATAATCCTCGAATTGTTAATGGATAATCAAAGATTTTTTGATACAAGTCCCTGGTACAATATATTCTATTCACAGTACTTCTCAAAGGTTTATAAGAAAGAATCAGGCTATGAATTATACAGAAAGCAAAATCTCATGAAAGGAATTTTTATACTATATTAAGTGATATTTCAAGGCTGACTTTAATATTTTGTCTTCAAAGACATCGCCATTGAGAATTTTTATTAGAAAATTGTTTCCCCTTTAAAATACTGTTTATATGATAGTTTTTTGGTTCTGTGGCATTTCTTTGTGTTGGTCTACCACATTGCTCACCTGCTATATCAAGCAGCTGCTCCATGCGTCAACCATGTGGGAGATTGGAATGTCAAGCAGAGGGAAGA